TACCGAAAAAGAGGTTAGAAAAAGCATGCTATAATAAACTGTAAATAATATTAGTAGGAATAAGTAAGAAATGGTAATGTTATACCCCTTCCATATTTGTACAATAGTAAACAAAATTATAAGAATTAAGCATTGGCAAAGTATTTTCAACAATTATTTGTCCTAAATAATAACAAGTAAATAAATATAAAAAAGAAAAAAAAAAAAACGACAAATGAATAATAGTAAACAAATAAATACTCACCGATTAGCTGAGTTCATGCCATCCTTCATCATACCACTAATTTTACGTTCACCGGTGCGAGTATAATCACCCTGACAAAGAAAATATATGATTAATAGACAATAGTAATTACTTTTCAAAAACACACAAAAATAAAACTTACCTTCAAAGCATTTGTGCCCGCATACTGACGACTTATAATGTCACCATTATTGGCCCATAAAACCATAAAAGGATTTTTCAATTGTTCCGGTATGGGTGAGTAGGGTGGCGATAAACCCAATTTAACTAGTTGTGACTCTAAAACAGCTTTACCCAAAGCTGTCTGCACAACATTTGTGCGATCTAAACAATCCATACAATTAACACGAAATACTGATTTTTGATTACAAATAACACCACGTTGATCACGCCAATGAAAACCCATGGCACCAGCTTCTGGTGCTAAGGCTTCGACGAGAGCCGAAACATTTTCAAAACGCATACCACGACAATAGTCATGAAAATCAAAAGTAACATAAACCACACGATCATTATTGTACTTTAAAACATGTTTGGCATAAGCATCGCCTATAAGTTTCTCTTTGCCACTCTGCTCGACGAGATTAACAATGCAAACACCCTCGTAAATATCTAGTTCTTTAATGAAATGAGTCTCAAAAGCTTCCTGGGTTTCAGCTTCACCTAAGGAAATAATTTATGATTAGTTTAAGTGTTTTTAAGAAGTTGGCTTTTACTTACCCCTATCCAATCTTGGTGGTGGCCTGTATTTATAACCCGGTTGTGACCAAAATATGGGCACTGAACCTCTGACTTGTGTAAAAGCCAATTGATGATGACGGAATGATAGTATTTGTTCAGTTTCTACATAATTGGCACAATTTCCTTTATCATCTACTCCTCGTCGCTTATAACGTGTACCAGCCCGATGTCTGGACCTTCGTGAGACCAAAGCCAGTGTAAAACATTCATTGCCTATAACACAAGGCTCTACTTGTACAAAACCTTGTATAATGGGTAAAATCCAAGTTTTATCCTTTAAAATAGAGAAATATTAAATAGAAGTAAAACATTTTTTTAAACTAAACCCACATTTAAAGCCATAATATCCTTAATCATATGCATATTCCAAAAGAATCTCTCATCTGGTGTCTGTTGATCGGTTGAGCCCACTGGCAAATGCCTTTGCAAATTATTGGTAATATCATGATCGAAACAGAAGTAAAAACTATCGGTATCATCGAATATTTTATGCAACTCCTCGGTTATACGTTTGCCAATACGTGTAGGATCTCTTATACCCACCGAAGATTTCACTTGATTAGAGGCTAAGGCAGCCGCTTGTTGTGTTGTATTCTTAATAGTATTACCAGCACTTTTAACAGCACCCCAGGTTTTATTCATCAATTGATTACCCTCGAATAGTTTGGTTCTGGAACTACTGGAATTTGCATTGGAATTAACGTTAGCATTTATGGAGGAAGAAGTTGAAGAGTTTCTCGAATGTGTAGGTGTGGTATTGGAACTGCTAGCATGTCGCGTACAATTGGGTAATACAGCATCTGCTTCATATAAACTTAAAATACAAATGGATTTGATTTATAAACTAAATGTGGTGGATATAAAACACCAACAGGAGTGGCCTCTTTAACTATCACCAGATGTGGTTCATAGACATTGGGCAAGGAGATGACACCCACTATGCCCTGAGTTATGCCTATACATTCAATATCATCCACCGAAGATAGATCCCAACCTAGAAAAACACAAATACAAAAAAAAAAAAAAAACACATGAATTATTGATTATTTGTTTAACAGTTCCTAATTACAAGTTTATTGTTTATATTGTGTATATTTTCAACGCTGCAGGTGTTGAATACATTTATCCTTGTGAAACAGTTAATTGGTTTTGACACGCAAATTAAGGAGAAACCTAAAGGTTATCAAACATACAATTGAAATCCATTACAACTTTTACTTTTATTATTGACACCATTTATGAAAACATTCTGTCTCGTATAAAAAGTAATAAACTAGATTTCTAGATGAATGTCCTTTTTTTGCAAATACTTAGAAAGTATGTTCTAGTTATAATAAATATTACAAGTTAGCAAACAAGTATTTTTTATACAAATATATTAAAAAATCAAGATTCACTTTTCATTGCCTCTTCACTTGCTGTTCTCTCCCTCCCTTCCTTAAAACCTCATCAAATTTAAGTACGTGCTATTTGGTTATAGTTGTCTGGCATTTGCCAAACAACAAACTAAATTTTTTTTTATATATGAATAAAATACATAAACTCTGTAGTAGTTGTATACAAAAGCCATCAAGGATACAACAAAAAGTCATCTCAAAAGTGGGTTATTTTAGTTTTATGAGGAAAAAAATCGACTTTTATTTTAAGTGGCAAACATGTACATAAACATACATTGTGTTCGTGATGTTGATGATGATGACGATGATGGATTAAATATTAAATTTTGCAATCAAAGTAAGAGAATATTTTTGATTTTTAGTTTTATATTATGGACAGAATATTAATATTAATAACTAGAGTTTTATACCTGGTATTTCTTAGACATATATTTTTTAGGAAAAGTGTTTCCCTCCTTTTTTTAATTTAAACGTCTTAATAAAGCACACATTCTAAACTCATTGAACACGGAAGTAATATAAGTTCTATAGAATTAACCTTAATATCTCTATTAAGCCTTTTAAGTTTTCCACACTTTTGCGCCTCTAAGGATTACTACCACCATATGTTTCTTAATTTAGCGCACAAAATGCATTAGAAAATAAACCAAAAGGAGGTTATAAATATTAAATTACAATTCAAAATTACAGTTTATTATTAGTAGTAAATTGTTAATGCGTTAATAAAGACATTATTAAAAAAAAAAAAAGGGAAATACTAAAAATAGTTTTAGTTGGTATATAAAGAATCAATTGGAAATAAATCAAAGTTAATTATATTTGACTGACATATAGAAAAAAGGCAATATTATTTATAACAAATAATTAATGCGACCAGCACAACCATGCCATTTCTAAGGATATTGCCTTGTTTGAGTAATAGTTGTTATTAATTGCTTAATATTAGCGAGAAATTGTAAGAAAATTGTAAAAAATGGGTTTTCAGTCCATATGGCACTCTAAAGAAAACATTTATAATATATTTTCAAAAGATAAAATTATCGATATGTCACATTTTATGTACATCTGTATATCATCGGATCAGAGCTCAGTGATATATGTATGTATACGAATGGCAGTATAAATAAAAAGGGAGTGACATTCAATCAGGATTGGTATGAATAATTTTATGTTAATTAGGCCACGTAGAAATTGAAATCAAAAGTCTATGGACTAAATTGTGGTCTATGTACTATATAAAGACTAGTCTAATGACTTGTCTATGGATTAGTCTATTGTCAAGTCTGTGAAGTAGTCTATGGTCCAGAATATTGCCCAGTGTATGGATTAGTCTATTACTACACAAAGAAATCTACTATTCTATAGTCTACTCTATTGACATATCTACGGAATAATCTATTGACTAGATTATTGACTAGTTTATTAACTTGTCTTTTCCACAAACGTATCAATAGAATAGAATATGAACTAGTTTATGGACTAATAAATAGACCAGTCTAAGAACTAGTTTGTAGACTAAGTAGTCCATAAACTGGTCGTTGATCTAGACTATAGACTACTCTATGAAATAGTCTATTCTGTGGTTAATAGACTAGTCAACACATTATTCTATATACTAGTCAATAGACAAATCAATATACCAGTCTATTGACTAATATACGGATTATTAAATTGATTATTCTGCTGTCAATAGATTAGTTAACAAACTATTCGGCAGATTAACAATATACTAATCTATGGTCTTATTTCTGAACCAGTCTATTGACTGCCAAAAGTGAAAAGACTAGTCAACAAATTAGTCAATATAGTACAACATTTTCTACAGTTTAAACTTTTCTATTGACTAAACTGTGAATTAGTCTAATCGACTTAACTAGTCGATTTAGTAGTTTTGCTATGAAATTTTACGTTAAAAGTTTTTCAATCATGTTGAAGACTACTATCATGTTATAATCAATGATTATTGTTTATTTCAAACTCATTGATGGTAAACATTGTAGTTGTAAGCTGAACATACACCTCCATTTAAACAAAACCACCCAAAAGTTGAACATTATTTACCAAATCAAACGTTTTGAAAAAAACACACCTACATAATTTTAATATAATTTTTTAACCTTAAATTTTTTTAAATAATGGAACTAAAAATAATACAATAAAATACATATCACGCAATCCTTAAATATAATTAAATATGTAGTTATATTTTATAACCAGCTCATTGACAATGATCAACAATAGATGATAGAAAAAAATCTTTACAAATTGATTGAAGAAAAAAAAAAACAGTGGCTAAAAATGCGTCATAAGTTTTTTTCAGGACAAAAATAAATGTTCTATAAAAAAAGCTTAAAATACGCAAAGCAATATGTAGATATAAAATAATGCAATGTAAATATGCATTGTTCGTAAGTTTTTGAAAATGATGAATATAAACGTAAGCGTGTAATTTGCTTTAGAGTTTAAATGTATATTATTTTTGGCTTAAAGCCAATTCTAAGAAATCAATACTTCTAATATAAATTGAAGTATTATAAGCTGTTTTGTTATTCTGTTAAACATTTTAATTACTTAATATACCATTAACTTGAAATGTTAATGAAGCTTTAATGTTGTTTTTCTTTTTTAATTGTCTTATCTATTGCATTTATTTTAATGGTTATTAATATGAAATGGGTATATTTTTTAGAAATGTTTCTTTATTATTATAATTAAAAAGGTGTAGATAGAAGATAAGAAATATTAATAAAGAAAGGTAAAAGTTTACTTTTAATGGCATGTTACTAATTTAATTAATTTAATTTAAATGAATTGACACAATTTCTCTGCAGTGATTAAATAAATGAGATGGTGCTACAGTTTGCGAAAGGACAATTGTGGAAAACAAAGGGTTAAAACTAGAAACGATACCAATCGCAGAATGTGTTTTAATCAATCTACGAATTTTCAAAAACTGAATTGAAATTATTAAGAGATACGTATTATCTATCTATCTATCTATCTATCTATCTATCTATCTATCTATCTATCTATCTATCTATCTATCTATCTATCTATCTATCTATCTATCTATCTATCTATCTATCTATCTATCTATCTATCTATCTATCTATCTATCTATCTATCTATCTATCTATCTATCTATCTATATATCTATATATCTATCTATCTATCTATTTGTCTATCTGTCTATCTGTCTATCTATCTATCTATCTATCTATCTATCTATCTATCTATCTATCTATCTATCTATCTATCTATCTATCTATCTATCTATCTATCTATCTATCTATCTATCTATCTATCTATCTATCTATCTATCTATCTATCTATCTATCTATCTATCTATCTATCTATCTATCTATCTATCTATCTATCTATCTATCTATCTATCTATCTATCTATCTATCTATCTATCTATCTATCTATCTATCTATCTATCTATCTATCTATCTATCTATCTATCTATCTATCTATCTATCTATCTATCTATCTATCTATCTATCTATCTATCTATCTATCTATCTATCTACTATCTATCTATCTATCTATCTATCTATCTATCTATCTATCTATCTATCTATCTATCTATCTATCTATCTATCTATCTATCTATCTATCTATCTATCTATCTATCTATCTATCTATCTATCTATCTATCTATCTATCTATCTATCTATCTATCTATCTATCTATCTATCTATCTATCTATCTATCTATCTATCTATCTATCTATCTATCTATCTATCTATCTATCTATCTATCTATCTATCTATCTATCTATCTATCTATCTATCTATCTATCTATCTATCTATCTATCTATCTATCTATCTATCTATCTATCTATCTATCTATCTATCTATCTATCTATCTATCTATCTATCTATCTATCTATCTATCTATCTATCTATCTATCTATCTATCTATCTATCTATCTATCTATCTATCTATCTATCTATCTATCTATCTATCTATCTATCTATCTATCTATCTATCTATCTATCTATCTATCTATCTATCTATCTATCTATCTATCTATCTATCTATCTATCTATCTATCTATCTATCTATCTATCTATCTATCTATCTATCTATCTATCTATCTATCTATCTATCTATCTATCTATCTATCTATCTATCTATCTATCTATCTATCTATCTATCTATCTATCTATCTATCTATCTATCTATCTAATCTATCTATCTATCTATCTATCTATCTATCTATCTATCTATCTATCTATCTATCTATCTATCTATCTATCTCTCTATCTATCTATCTATCTATCTATCTATCTATCTATCTATCTATCTATCTATCTATCTATCTATCTATCTATTCTATCTATCTATCTATCTATCTATCTATCTATCTATCTATTCTATCTATCTATCTATCTATCTATCTATCTATCTATCTATCTAGCATCTATCTATCTATCTATCTATCTTCTATCTATCTATCTATCTATCTATCGATCTATCTATCTATCATCTATCTATCTATTATCTATCTATCTATCTATCTATCTATCTATCTATCTATCTATCTATCTATCTATCTATCTATCTATCTATCTATCTATCTATCTATCTATCTATCTATCTATCTATCTATCTATCTATAGACGGTTAAGGTTGTGTCACAAATATTATTGTTCATTACACACTCTACTCCAAACTTAATATATCCTCCTCACTTGATGTAGGGTGCAATAACACAAATTTATTTAATTTGCGATTTATTGTTTTATGAAAATGTTTCCTCTGGAGAGATAAGGAAATTCATACGTTACATTCTAAAACAAAAACATTTGAAAACTTTTGTACTCACAATCATCCAACTAGTTTAGCAAATACAAACAGCACGTTCTGTAATTAACAATCCCCACCCCAAAAACAACAACAACCCGTTTATGGGGGGAAAACCAAAAGTAAACAAAAAATCGCAGATTATACACTTGACATTGTAAGAAAACTGGAATATTTAAAATAGCAATAGCATAGAAATAAACAAAATAACAAAATATAAATAAACAAAAGAAAATAATAACTGGACGCAATACAAAATATATTACTCCTACCGCCGCCCCAAGGGATTGTCAAAGAGAGGTAGAGATGATGAGTGTGTTTTAACAAAGAGTACCTATATTGATTAAATAACCAGAAATGCAAAAGCAAAAAACACAACAGCTGTAAGAGCAATGAATTTAAAGTTTGGTTGTGTTTATTAAATTATTTTAATAAATTTTATTTCTAATAAATAAAAAAGTCATTAAACTAATCAGTCTCTGTTTTGTTAACGCCTTCCAAATCAATTGTTATTTTTTTTTTATAAAAGTGAAGGAACTTAAAAACAAATAAACGTTTATTTATTATTTATATAAACACACGATTGGACATTTAACTACCCTTTAATAGTTTCCAAGTAGAAGTGTTCCCTCCTCAACCTACATAGTACATACACTAGTTATACCAACTGACTCATTGTCAGACACACATTTGCACATACAACATTAGACTTTAATAAAGCAAAAAGTTTGAATACTTTTTATTAGATTAATATTTAATAATTGTTTGTTGTTATAAATGTCATTCACTTTTACTAATTGTTTGCCCTTCCTGGCCATTTGGTACTGTCTCAACACATTATTCATTCATTAATTTTCACTTTCTGTTAGGAATTTGTCTATCTGTTATTTTTACCTGCTTTTATGGTAAATTCCGATGTAGTGCGATTCCACCATAAACTTTTTTCACGCTTAACAAAGATATAAAAATTATCTGTTTGAAATACTTCCATTTTCGTTGTGTAATTTCGTAATATTTCTTAATTTTATTAACAATTTTTCACAATTGTTTTTTTTTGTTTGTTTCACAGACCAACTAAAATTTTTGCATTATTTTATTTCTCTTACAACTTCTTTACACGGCGAATGACATTTCACGAATAAAGAAAAAAATACTACAAAATTCTCAAAAGATAAAAATGAGTAAACAATGGAAATGTTGCCACAGGTTAGGAAATTGTAATAGATTAACTGTGGGATAAAATTGATTATTTAGGCGTAAATTTTATAAAGTTTAAATTTTACGTTTTATTTAATACCCCATTTACACATACACGAAATCTAGTAGATTTCATTTAAAATCTTTTTCCAAATCTAGTCCGTTTACACTTACTATTCTTGACATTTAGGAAGATTTCATTTTTTCTAATATTTCTTGAAAAAGTGTGTGATATGAAAAATAAGAAGGAAAAATGGGTTGTTTATCCAAATTCCATTTAAAATAAAAAATAGATATTTAAATATAACATTACCTTTAATTTTAGATAAACTTTTCATTCATGTTTTTCAATTTATAAAAATTTTGTCGACATTTTAATTTTTTTTTTGTTTGTTTTGTTTTCCTCTTTTTTCTTGTGTAGTGTCGTATTTTTTAGTATTATTTAGGAAAAAACAGAGTTGCATCACTAAAAACTATTAGATTTTGAGTAGATTTTAACGAAATCTAGTTACGAAGTAGATTTTGTTTTGTATGGGAAATCTAGTTAAAATCAAGTAGATTTGGCTCGAAATCTCATAAGTACTAGATTTCGTGTATGTGTAAATGGGGTATAAATTATTTCTTTGTTTTTATTTTTAAATATGAATTATTGTAATGAACTAATGATGTAATGTAATCTCAAATTACAATATTTTATTTCTCATTAAAAGATACATGTAATTTTGGGTGGTCACGTTTCTATGGATAATAATGGTATTGAAATACCTAATGAAAACACTGTATGACACTCAACATTTGACCAAGTGCATTTTGTATATCTAGTTGTGTAGATCACAACACTATATTAAAAAAATCTTTTAATATATTCTAAAAATCGGGAGTTATCCTTAAAAACTGAATTCTTAATTGTTGGAATTAAAACCTATTATCTCAAATTCCTTGAATCTGATTTTATTTTTTGAAACAAACTCTTTGAAATCAAATCTAATCGACTTTAAACTTCAAAATTGAATTATTTTAGTTTTTGTACTTTTTGGACCGAAAAAAATATATTTTGTTGATTACTATACTAAGAAAATACTATTGTCTATATTAATTCGATTGAATCAATCGATAATTATACCTAACGTATTTATAAAAAATTTACTAAAAGAAAAATATCATTAAAAATAACCTTTATTACCTTAAAGTTCAAAAAAATGGGTAAAAAATTGGATTTAGCGAGAACACACTTTTATTTAAAAATTTTGTTATGTCATCTGAAAGTCCGATATGATTTAAGGTTCTGTTATATTTTCTTCCTTCTTCGAGATTAAGCTTGGAACAACCGCTTTGTTTTATTTTCACATAAAAATACTTTTTGAATTGTTTAACTCTTTCACGTATTTGAGACGCCAGTGTACTAAGAATTTTTTAAATTTTTCTTAATGTAGAACGTAATTTTGAGTTCATGTCTACAATAATTGTTTATTTTCATAGAAAACTAAGTTCCTTTTTAGAATTTTATGGCACTGCATGCTGAAAAAGATAGTCCTTTGAAAATACCTTGGCCATCTTTCATTAAAAATGATCAATATATATGTATGTATATGTCAAAATAAAGTGAGTAGTGAAATCATATTCATTTAAGTATTTCGGTTTGGTTTTGTGAGTGAAATGGTTAAAAATAATTTGTCTTTGCTGTGATATCGTATTATTGTATTAAAAAACACGAAAAATAATTATTTAATTTATTAGAATAAAATTAAATTCGATTAATTTTGTGTACTCGGTTTTAAAACGAGAAAAATTATGAGAACTCGTTTTTAAACGAGAAATTTACCCGGATTCGGTTTACATAACAGACAGGAATATAACAGTGGATAAACCATTATTTTAAAGTCGACAGATTGGATTTTCAGATGACATAACAAATTTTATAAATAAAGGTATCTCGCGCTGTTATAGTGACTCAATTGTGTCCAAAAACGTTTTTCTTTTCAAACTTCATGATGTAATGGATAAATTTTGAGGGCATATTCGGATTCAGCGCTTCTCAATCCTTTAGAAAAGTATACTATGGTCTCTGGGTTTCAATTTGTTCATTATAATAATGAATACTTTTGAATATTATATTATTTAAAAAAAATTATTTTAATGTATCTGAAGTCATTGTAAAAACACAATGGTTTTTATCGCAAACTTTAAAATTTCAACGTTTTTCATTCATTTTATAACGGTATACATCAAATTTTATAATCTGGCAGCACCATTAAATTGTAAAAGATTATAAAAAAAATACCAAACAGCTGTTTTTGCAAATCAACTGCTGTCCAGCTTAAACATTGACGGCTGTTTGTATTTTCACTTTTACACAACAAAATTTAATACTTTCAAACAAAATTCCGAAATTTCTTTGCATAATTACAAAAATAACGAAACAAAATTAAATGGCACTACAGTATTTACACAAATTTACACAATTAAGCAAAAATGTTGCTCATGGCACCGTAATGAGATCATGTATAGCTGCAACAAATTTCAAGTATAATACTCTACAAAGAAATTTAAGTACCGGCCATCAAAATAATGGAAAATATGAGGAAAGCCGGCAACAATCTAAAGGCAAAGCATGGAACACAATAGCTTTATACACAGCTGCTGCAGCCGGCTTGGGCACTTTATACTGGTTAAAGCAACATAATGATTTGCAATTACTGCCGGCCGTAGAAGCAAAAACTTTACCAAATCTTACAGGTAGACGTAAGCAATATAATTTCATTGCCGATGTAGTGGATGTGTGTGCTAATTCGGTGGTCTATATAGAAATTAAAGATACTAGACATTTCGATTACTTTTCGGGACAACCGGTTACGGCTTCTAATGGTTCTGGTTTTATTATAGAATCCAATGGCACCATCTTGACAAATGCCCATGTGGTCATTAATAAGCCTCATACCATGGTCCAGGTGAGATTACATGATGGTCGTGTATTTCCCGCTGTTATAGAGGATGTTGATTCTTCCTCAGATTTGGCCATTATTCGCATAAATTGCAAAGATTTGCCGGTAATGCGTTTGGGTGAAAGTTCTACTCTTAGGTCCGGCGAATGGGTAGTGGCTTTAGGTAGTCCTTTAGCTCTTAGTAATACTGTAACAGCCGGTGTTATTAGTTCAACCCAAGACCCTCTCAAGAATTGGGTTTAAGAAATCGTGATATAAATTATCTACAAACAGATGCCGCTATTACTTTTGGTAATTCCGGCGGTCCCCTGGTCAATTTAGATGGTGAGGCTATAGGTGTCAATTCCATGAAAGTAACGGCCGGCATAAGTTTTGCCATACCAATTGATTATGTGAAATTATTTTTGGAAAAGGTGTCAGAACGTAGAAAACAGGGTTCAGCTGGTAAAACCACACATCAGGCCAAGCGTTATATGGGCATAACTATGTTAACTTTAACCAATGATATTCTAAATGAATTGAAAAATCGTTCCGAAAGTTTGCCACCCAATCTAACACATGGTGTTTTAGTGTGGAAAGTTATAATAGGATCACCAGCTCATATGTAAGTTGGAATTTATGTGAATTTTTATATTTATTGTAATATGTTTTTCTTTTTCTAGTGGTGGCCTTAGTCCTGGCGATATAGTGACTCATATTAATAAAAAGGAAATCAAAACTTCTTCCGATGTTTATGAAGCTTTAGCTGATAATTCTAAAACTTTAGATATTACCATATTCCGGGGTCCCAAACGCTTAACCTTAACCATTACACCAGAGGATCCTTAAAGTGTTTAATTTATGATTTTTTATGAAGCGTTTATTATTATTTTTTGTTTTTGACGTGGCTGTTAAAGTTGGATTTTCTTTTGTGTAAATTTTCGCTTACACTGCCAAATATTTGTATTTTCTTTTTTTTTTTTAATTAATGTATTCTGAGGATAATGACAATGGAAAAGTTTATTGTAAATAAAAGCAAAATGTATATTTTTGTTATTATGCAAATTATGGTGGATTTAAGATGTGGAGATGCTATTTTCTTAAATCTTTGTTATCAATTAAAAAGTTAGGTTTCTTTGTAATAGATCTACTAGGATGCATATGTATGTGTGGATATATATAGTAGATTAGGTAATCCGATTATTAATTAGCGTTTGAATTATTGATTTGAAAACATTTTACAAGCTCATCCCAACTCTCATAAACTGCTAAATTTAAATTTTACTTACAAGGCGAATATCTTTAGAAATAAGCCTAAAAATATGCCTTAGTTTTTCACTTTAATAAAATAAAAAATGTTGAAAACTACTCCCACCCATTAACAATTTAAATTTGAGCATGGAAATAATTGATTAATTTTTACAAATTAAAACAAAACTTTCTGACCCAATATCGAAACAAAATATTATAAACATTTCCGTTAAACTAATCTCTAGTGTAAACTTTTCTAATCTGCGGCTTAATATGATTTTGTTTGAAAGTGAAATTAAACAAAAACATATTTTTACAACACACACAATACAAAATGAATCGAATGAAAACAAATAGCCCACATTTTGCATAAATAATGATACATTTATTACAATGTTGCAAATATAAAGAGATTAACATTTTTACTAACAATTTTAGTAAAACTTTTAAAACAAACTTAAAGTTGCTTTGTGGCGCAATATGAAAAAAAAAATAAAAACTCGCATTTCTTTATTTTAAGCCAAATCCATATAAACCAAAATTCAAAAGAAGAAAGAAAAAGTAAAACCTGTAAGAATTATGAAAATTATTGGCGCTAACATGTATGAATAAAGCGGGACTAAACCAAGTTAAACGACTAAAGTCAAATTTATTTTACCGGTATTAATTGAAATGTCTGGTTAAACAAAATGAACAAATACAAAAAAAAAAAAAAAAAACTCTATAAATTATATTTTATTTTCATCTCCAACATTG